CAAAATGCATGGATGGCTCATATGCAAAAAAAGTGTGTCCATTTAGAGTAGAATGAGTGATTAAAGGTGTGCTTTAAGGCATGTCTGTCATGATCCTTGCTTTTGTACCCACTGTTTTCTGTTTCATATATTCCGTTTGAATTTGTTGTAGTTTTCAGTTTAAAAGTGACCTTTGCTTAGGTTAGGTTATGTTTATTTTTTTCTGTCAAGTTTATGTGTGTAGTCTCAGGCTTTTAGTTTCCTGTTTTATTTTGATAGTCTTTCGTCCTGTTTGTGCCATATTCAGTTTTGCTGCCCCTGTCGTTAGTCTGATTTAATTCACTTGTGCCTTGTTTTCCCCAAGTGCATCCCATCTCTTTAATTACCTCCTGTGTATATTTATATCCTCAGTCTCCCTCTGATGGTCATATTGTCATATTGTTCCCATTTGCTGTGTGTTTCCATGTGTTCAGTGCTTTCTATCAATTTTTCCTCATTCCCAATTTCTAATTCTTGGAATTTTGTACTTTTGTCTTTCTTTTTAGTCTAGCAGTTACAGCAAATAAAGCGGCCTCTTTTAGTTACCGCTTCACTTCTGAGTGCTGTGTTTGGGTCCTACCTCTGCTTGCCACTGCCTGCTATGATGACAGTGACCGACGAGGTGCTACTTTGTTAGCATGTTTTCACATTATAAACTGAAGACCTTAGCTTACAACATCACAGGAAGAACCCCAATAATTCTCCATAAATAAAACTGTTAGATCCAGCCGGTCAAGTTAAAAAAAACAACCAAACAAGGCATCTAATCTAAAAATGCCACGCTTTAGTTTTCAGAAGTACATAAACCAGTGAGCGATGCCAATGGCCCATCCTTTGGCCAATTTCTCTCATATGCTGTAGATTTTTTTTTTTTAGACATTACCATGAGGAGAAGATTTATGGAGGGCACGCAAAGGAGGATATTGGAATAGTCATGGCAAGACAGAATTCATCTGTAAACAGCCCAGGATTTTTTTCCTCCAAGTACTATAAAAAGCAATAATAACAACTACATGTTTGTGTTTGTAGCTTACCAAGTGTTCACGTGTTTTGACTTTTAAGAGTGTAATTCATTTGACCTGCTGTAGCCCATCTGTTATGTTTGTGAAAAAATATTTTGCAGCAACAGCCCAATTGAAAGCCTAACAGTGGGTTTTCCACTGTAATGCTGAAACTATTTCTAGATGTGAATACCATTTTTGAAAGCTGCAGTGTCTACAAATTAAAGACCACGCCACAAATTTCTGTGATGATGGACAAAAATCTCATAAAACAATAAACCTTCAGAGTTCTCTTGAAATGACAATACATAACGACAATCTATTTTCATAATCTGAATGAAACCCAGCTTTAAACACAGCAAATAATTACTGGTCATTTAATCTCACTATGTTCAAACCGATGGAACATCTGTGCAGGAACAGTCGCACCCATCTCTTCTTCAGTATGATGCTTTACTGCACTCGAGGGAACCCATTCACCGCAGCAGGGTGTAGTTTGGTTATGAGCCATTTGTCATTTCTGTCATTTTGCTCGTGCAAAAGGGAATGAAGCCTCAGATTTACAAGAACAGTTTACGCCTGGTTGGACGTCAGGACATTATCAAGTAAAGAAGAGACTTTGAGGAACAGAGATCTGCTTTCCTTCCAGCTTCTATCTCAGCATACACATGTGAAACAGGAGACTCACTTGGAGATAACCAGAGACCCAGTGGCACCTACTTCACACAGTGCTGTCACTGCCAGTGAGAACTCTCTGTAGGAAGTTCATGACAGTGGTGAAGAAAGTCTTTGAAGAGACAGCATTCACATGGACTGGAAAGATAAGCAGATCTAGAACCGTTTTATCTGAAATGTCTGCCTTCAGATAACTACAGAAGAGTTGTCAATGAATGAACCCCTAAGCGCTCTATACAATAAACCACATTCACCTACTCATACAGCCTTTATTATATGTGCTTAAGTATTTAAACACCGTGCTTCATCTATTGCAAATTTAGAACCACCAGATAATGGAGGATGCATGTTTTTGGAACTATTTGGCTGTGACTAAAATATCTGAAACACTTGTGATGCAATAAATGACATAAAAGCTCCCTACCAAGAGTTTTCTAATGTTTGATCATTTTACTGGTTATACATACTTTCCGGACTAATCAGACAGGAGAGTGTGCTTTCAGCCATCTGATAGCTTTGTCTTGTTTGTTTTGCTTTTTAAGTTTCAAAACTTAGTCAATAAACACTATGTTTTTAGGTTAATGTTCTGGTTTCATGGACGTTCCCTGCATGCAAAAAGATCATACGCTCCTCACAGCAATCCCATAATTCAGCATGTTGGAGATCACTGCCAGAAGACACCTTGCACAGAAATGAGCAGTGTCTTTGGCAGAAAAGCATGAATTAACGTCCTGGAAAACATGATAGGCGGATACTTATTACCTTTCGGGCAGATAGTATCTCTTAGAGGGACTGTGTGAATTACATTTTTAAGTTGGGTTGTTTGGGATAATTTTGTATGGGGTAAACTCTGTGTTTAGTTCATTGGCCTCCCCATTCATTAGGTCTCAGTCTCACAGAACACCTTTGGAAAGCGCTTAAAGATCTGCTTAACTGATGTGATGCAATGACATGCTAGCATATGTTAGCAGATTATCAAAGAAGGTTCACCTTTAATACAGAACTGAGTCTTTCTGAAAGTAAGGAGCCATTCCTAATATAGTGGACACTGTGTGTAATATATTTGAGCAGTGCAAAATAACTGATGGGAAGCATAGCAAGCATTGGTATGTTTTGTTTCATAGGTGTTTCTCTATTGCTGAAGACAGAGGCAGCTCACATAAGCAGCACAAGAAGCCTCTGTCTGCTGTTCCACAGCTGACTGTTTAAGTTGAACTCAGTTCTACAAGAAACAGTGGATGTCCCCAGGTGTGTGTCTCAGTTCAGCTCTGACACTCTTAATGAGATGAATTTGTTGCTTTTATATACTGTGTTCCCATGTTTGGCTGACAAAAATAAATAAATAAATAAATAAAGCCCAGTTCAATCTCAGTGAAGTTATAAAAAAGGTAGACCAGTTTTCTAATTTGGTTTGGTTTAATGTATGTGAAATATTAACTGCTTGCCTCAAAACAAATATGCAAATGCTTTTATTGCATTTTATGGAAAGTTTGGTAAGGAAAGCAAATCTTGAACTCACAGTGAAAATGCAGGCTACAACATGATGGAGGAAATAAGCACGAGATATCTTCATGGTGTAAGTAGTGTTCATTTGGAGCATAATCACAGCATAATCCCTTTGCTGCCCTGCCTGTAACAAAAGGCTCAGTGAAGAGAGAGGCTTTCTCATCATTATTGCAATACTCAGTTTTAGACAGCAGATGTCTTTAATTTAGAGAAAAGACTACAGTTTTTATCATGAGTGGTATACACTGTATACTGCTAAATAAAGATATAATAGAGCAATGCAGCTAATGTCTTGTAAGAGAAACTGCAGGTTTTGGCACTTAAAGCACTGCCTTCATTTTTCATCCCTTGAGGTAATTAATACCTCAGTTATACAGGACTGACGGAGTACTAGGGGGTGGCTGTGGCTCAGGCAGTAGAGGAGATAGAGTGGCAAGTTGGAGGTTTGAGTCCCACCACTTAGTTATGAAGTACTTAGAGCAGCATAAAGAATCACATGCATGTATGTGCCAATGGGTAAATGTGGCTTTTACTAAAATATGCTGTAAGTGTTAGAATTGAAAGTGTAGGTGATAGAAAACAGAGAAGCTCATTTGGTTAGCAGGAGAAAGATGCCCATTCAGGAAGTGCTGGGGATGCACCTGCTACTGAAATCAAACTCATGTCTGCACCTCATCAAAAGGTTCACACTATGATATCTGCAGAAAAATAAAGATTCAGATTGAAGATTGTTATATAAAATACATACACCTGACGTGATCTTCTCAAACAATAATCCATACTTTGCATTTCAGAGAGAAACAGATTTTTCATTGCACAGCATTCATCTTATATGAAGGTAATTGTGTACAAAACACCTTAAAATATGATAATTTAAAAAATTGTTATAGATTTAAAAGACTCCTGCAGGGTTTCTGTTTGAAGTTGAGAGTTCTTGTTAAAAACTCAATAAAATCTGAAAAGATTACAAAGAGACACAAATGAAAAAAACAACTACTGATTGCTGAACAAATAAATAAAATGAAAATGTATTTTTTTATTCAGGTGGAGGAGGTCTAGAGTAGGAAGACGGAGACATAAAATACACATATGTGAACACATATGTTCATGGTTCGACATTTTCTTTTTGCATTGACTGCAAAGGTCCAGCATCATTTTCTAAATGCTTAAAAAAAAACAATCAATCAACTTACCAAGAAAATATCAGCACAACAATATTAAAAATACTTTATTTATCCTACATAGGATATTCTTTTGTTCAGCAGCTGAAATACTACTACTGCTACTACGACTGCTAAAAAAATAAAAAGAAATAATAATAATAATAATAATAATAATAATAATAATAATAATAATAATGATAATAATAATAATGATGATGATGATGATGATGATGATGTCAAGTACATTTTAAACATTAATTTAAATAATAATTAGTCACAGCCTCGTATAAAATAGCTTTTAAACATAGCTGGCACACAATGCGGCAAAAACAAAACAAAACACTCACAGGATCTTGTTCTATGGTGAATACTGTTCAGAATTATACTTAAATACTTCCTACATTTTAGGGACCTTTACGTGTTATAATCGTCGTAGTTTAGATGATATGTATTGATTTGCCATACACATGTGCACGTCTACTGCGTCTACAGTGCAGCACACGTGGAGCTGGCGGCGATACTGCTCCGATCCGCTGCGATTGCACTAGAGGAAATATTAAAATAAATAAATAAGCAGAAGAAGAAGAAGCAGAAGAAGAACAAGAAGAAGAAGAAGAAGAAGAAGAAGAAGAAGAAGAAGAAGACTCTAAGCCAATCAGAAAGCAATTTGCTGCTGCCTGGTGACCAGCTACCAATAGGAAGCGTGAATGTGAGCGCGGATAAACGGAATTGTTGTGTGTCGGCCTCGGTGATATTGTGTTTGGTGACAGTAATAAGAGTAATTGTTTCAGGGCCGTTAAATCCCCTCACAATGAGCCTGTCTCTGAGGTAAGCCGGTTTGTCGCAGTTATTCCAACATTCCTCAAACCAGCGCACAGAGCTATTCGCTAGCTCTTTCACATAAGAGGCGCTAGCATGTTAACTTTGCAACGCGTTTGCTGTGTTTGTTCGGGAGCGATAGTGCATAGGAATTAGCTGCAGCTACTAATCAGTGTAGAGTCGACGTTAGCTGCTTACTGTTTTTTTTGTTTTTCGTTTCTTTGAATGTGACTTGGACGACTACAATGTACTGTACTATAGACCACATTTAGTTGCAAAACTACTGTTCAGATGCCACCCCTGTACTGATCCTTACGTTCAGTAAGGATCGACTGCATAGCCACAGCACAAAGTCATCAGTAACAGTACAAAGGAGCGTTTTTTCTCATTTATTTTTTAAACAAATCAGCATTCTTGACCAACATAGTTGCTGATTCCGTTTTATTCAGTGCACATACACTTTTGTGTACGTGTAGTGGAATTGTAAGGGGAAAATCCTATATTAAATATTATAAATGGATAATCTTGTGTTGAATTGGCACAGAAAGGGGAAAAAGGACCAAAAACAAAGAAAATCTAAGCGAGGAAAGTAGCTGTATCAGCTGTCAGCCAAACACTTCAGTGTTATGTGTATCTGACAATTAATGTTATAATGATACTACAGTCATTTTGTTTTGTTATGTTATTTTGTTATGTTATTGATATTTAGATAAACAGGTGTCAGAGTATTACTCTATCATGTTGTTAAGTTGCTGATAAATCAGATATTATTGATTAAGTATTTGGTCGTAGATACTTCGTTAGATTGCTAACGATATATGCACTGCACTCTGCTTGTGTTGCAAACACAGAGCGTAGATACCTGTAAACTTCAGTCTGTAAATAGTTACAGATTTTAAGTTTGTTTTCTCAGGCTGGGTAAAACTGATCACAAGGCTGTGTACGTTGTCTAAACACTGAGTGCACTGCCTGCATATTTGTCTATTGTGTGTTTTGTCAGCCCTTTGCTTTTTAGCTAACCTTCTTCTGTAAAGCTGTGGTGTTCTGCCATACGCTGTACAACATACTCTGTATTGAAGCTTTAATTTGGGGTAACAGCAGATAAGTGTGTCACTTAAGTTAAAGTAAAATGTTTGCAATATGATGTGATGTGCAATACATTTGTGTATCACATGCTGCATCTGTCTCTCTCCAGAACGGAGCTCATGGCAGACAAAACCAAGCGTAAGAAGAGGAGAGAGCTCACTGAGGATCAGAAACATGAAATCAAAGAAGCATTTGAGTTGTTTGACACAGACAAAGACAAAGAAATTGACTACCACGAGCTGAAGGTGAGCACTGGATGATGAGAGGAAAACAAGTTTGACAGCTAAGAACAGTCCGGTGACGCAGTATTTAATCTGCTGTGTTTAGTATGTTAAAATGTGCAATATGTCTGTCATAATGAACTCAAAAAGCAGTTTTTCCTCACATGTTTACATCTGCTGTACTGCTGTTGGAATACAGAAACATCTCAGTGTCACAAACTGTCAACAGGTGGCAATGCGTGCACTCGGCTTTGAAGTGAAGAAAGTGGATGTTCTCAAGATCCTTAAGGATTATGACAGAGAGGGAAATGGGAAAATAACATTCGAGGACTTCAGCGAAGTTGGTAAGTTTGCTTTCCCTGCATGTGCCCCTGTGCAGACAGGGGCCGAGGGGAAGAAAATCTCTGACATCTTTAACTGAAGTGTTTCAGTAACTCTGATGCATGTTATGTATGGTTCTGCAGTGACTGATCGCATCCTAGAGCGAGATCCGAAAGAGGAGATCATGAAAGCCTTTAAGCTGTTTGATGATGACGAATCAGGAAAGATCAGTTTGAGGAACCTGAGACGTGTGGCTCGGGAACTTGGGGAGAATATCAGCGATGAAGAGCTCCGCAGCATGATCGAGGAGTTTGATACTGACGGAGATGGTGAAAGTAAGTCAGCACTTGCTCTTTTCTTCGACATTGATAATTATTGCTATACATTTAATCCCTAGAAGGGAAATGCGTTCAGTTTGTTTAAGTGAACAGGAGTGGATGAGCGGGACTTTTGTTTGTTTTGGTGTACGTACAAAAGAGGCGTATGAACACCATTTATAAGGTGCTCGTATGGAGACATATTTATCGTCAAGTAGTTTGGGAGAAATACATATCTTAATAGTTTTTTATCTTTACCGTGTACGACTCTGGCTACTGGCGCTCCTCTGAAAAAGAAAGCCTCAAATCTCAAAAAATTGTTTGTGGTTCTGTTAAGCGCTATTGAGTCAATCATTCTTTAAACTTACTTAATAATGCCTTCATGAGATTTTAACCATTAGAGCAAAATTACTCATAACCATCTCACAGACGTACCATTATGTTCAGCTACTTTCAGGACCATTGATAATTACGTAGACTCTTTTTCTTCTATTAATCTTTGCGTTAAATGATGCAATTACTTCCTCCAAACTGTCAATGTATCCCATTTTTCTACCCTGATTTTATGGGGGGGGTTTTCTGATTTTAAATATGAAATATACTCAAATTTTAGAGCCAGTTAGGGGTTACAGTGGGATTCAGCTGGTGGGGGGAACCCTTAAATTGCTTGTAATGGCTTAATGTGGGGAAAAGACTCATAACTCACAATAATTTCTACTGAGACCTTCAGTAGATTTTCTTAGTGTTAAGGCTGTGATCAGCTGATCAGATGTACACAACTGAATCCAACCAGATGTAAGCAGATGTTTTATGAGTTGTCCTAGCTGATTTCCAGCTTCTATGCTGATAGTAAACTATTTAAGCTGTCTTTTTCCTATACGGTATAAAGTTAGTATGTAGGTAGAATTAAGTCAGTGGATTTCAGCATCATCAGTGAAAATTCATGTGAATTTCTGCTACACTGAATGTAACCTCACACTGACCATGGACCCACAGCCAGTGTGCGCTAGTCACACACTGTTCTTTACTTTAAATCCATCACAGTACAGCAAACTAACTTGTTTACCTGCACTAACCTGCAGAGGATTTTCATGCAGCTTTTAAATAACACAACAGTTAGTCTATCTCAGTTTGATTTGCAGCATGTTTCACAATATGAAAAAACATAATGTCACATGTACAGACCTGATATCTGATTTAAAAACATGAGGACTGACATGTAAGCTTTTAAATCTGCATAATCTGCATTTAAATCAAATACCACTGAGCGGTCCTTACCTTTAAATCTAAGCTCTCTTCTTCCTCTCCTGTCCTGTCTTTCTTGGCTTTCTAAACTTTTCCATCTTTCAGTGAAGTTAGCGCTCTTTCTTTTCTCTTCCCTGTGAAACCCAGCAGCTGGACTTGTAGGTAGCAACACACTGTGAGACAAACTGTACACAGTTTGTGTGTTTGTTGACCTGATAGAAACCTTGCATTTGAAATTACCTGACACAAATAGCTTGACCCAAATACATTAAAGCAAAAGTAATGAACCTCTTTTGAGTAAAAGTAAAAAGAAGTTGGAAAGATAAATACTGAAGTAGAGTAAAGATACCTGAAAATTGTACTTAAGCACAGTAACAAAGTATTTTTTACTTTGTTACTACTTCCTACTTTTGGAAGCTAGGTTGCACAGAGAGATGGGGGTGCTGGATTTAAATGCCTGCGTGTCAGGAAAATGTGAAGAAACAAGCGAAAAAGTAAATTAAGCAGCATCTGGCTGCATTTCAGTGATTTTGTAGACTGCAAAGCTTAGTGCAGAATTGATTAAATGGCTGAAGTGATACCCTTTCCATTTTCATTGTAGGGGGACAGAAGGTTTCAAACTGAATGGCAGAGATGTAGAAATGTCTGCATGTACCACTTTTTTTTTTTTTTAAACCACTACAGTTTAAAACAAACTAACAAACAAAATACCCTTTGGGCAATTGGCTACCAGAACCTTTTCTGTAGTTTTATTCTTACAATTTAAGTCCAAAGAGTCCTGTTGACAGATTTCTTTCTTTGTCACGGCAGCTTTTTTTCTTGTCATGTAAAAGAACAGTAAATTATGTAACATGTTTACACTGACAGAAAAAGGAGTTTCACAGCTCCAGCCCACTTAAGGTCAAAGTGGGCTGAACAGAGAAACTGTAGTCAAAATAAAAGAATTTAAATAAATGAGATAAAAAGATTACAAGAAATTCATATATACACATACATGCAAAAACGAAAGGTTTTTTGTATTTTAGAGAACTGAAACTGACATTTTTAAAACTTTTTTTCTTTTGTGTTTGGTGCTCTCATTGACTGACTCCACTTGTTTACCCCCTTTCCAGTAAACCAGGAGGAGTTCCTTACAATTATGGGCGGGGAGTCCTGATGAGGGATTTCTCTGTTGCTGAGGACTTCTTGGTTGGATTGGTCGTCCAATTTGTGAGCAGTTAAGCGACTTGACTGTCAACAAGGACGCACAGCTTCCTCTGAAGCATCGCAGGTGGACAGAAGTTGTTTCATTGACCCTGAGGGTTGTACTTGAGTCATTCCATAAAAGCACTGAACTGTGTGACAGATTCAATGTCAGCCAAACTCATTTCTTATTGAAGGTGAAAGTTAAAGTATCAATATCATGCTAGTCTTTAAAATTAGCTAGTTGTTGTTGAGTTTTTGTTGGGTTTTTCCCCCATGTCATAACATCTTTGTTAAATATTTAATGTGTTTTGCAACCATTTCACACCTTTCTGTAATTAGATCCTGTAAAAAGATCTTTTCACTCTTTTATAAACACATTAATTTACTGTTGGGGAAAATATAGACAAATAGCAGTAAAATGTTGTTGCTTTTATCAGAAGTGTCTGTATATTGTAAAGGACACATATTTCATACATGGCTATTTTGAATGGTTGTATTTCCAGTTTACATGTGCATGTTCAAGTGTTCTATTTATTTTTGACACAATAAACTGGTTTCCCAGCAAGTCGCACCATTTTTACCATTTTACTTTCTCTGAGTGCTGGTAAGTGTGTCTCTGTTGTGCGACCTAGTTTGTAGTGATGGCCAAATGAAGCCTTGTGAAGTATTGAAGCTTTTATTGAAAAATGGTTCATTACTCGAACCTTTTCAACACAGTCATCTTTAGTGACATCTGGTGGCCTAAAATATGATGAACACCTTAAATCTACAACTTACAATGAACTGCTTCATTATGATTGCCCACTCTGCAGCGCTGAATTGACAGCTCTGTGTGATATTGGGCTGATATGGTGCTTTGTTTAAACATGTGCCACAGTGTGTTCTGCTTTTGCTTGTGACTTCTTTAAGTTTTTTACTAATAAAAAAAACCCCAAACACTATATATAAGATGTACAACACAACCTTATAATAGGTGTCTTGTGCTGTGAGGTCCCTGGCTCCACGTGATTATATGATTAGGCAATGGACAAGTACGCTTATATTATAACTAATACTATAACTTCTATAATTATAGCTATAGTATGTGTACTTCTTATGTACATTTTAGACCTGGGAGCAGAACTGCTGATAAACTGTTTTTATTTAGGAATAGGCAGAGCGTCCACTCTTCCTGGCTTTATGTCTGTAATTATGTCACACACTGGTTTGCTGTCACACAAAATCACCACCAAAACACAGCATAAATCCCACCAACGATTCAATTCCTTAAAAGCCACTAAATCAAGTACTGAAGCAGTCGCATGGCAATTGAAGCTTTGATCACGTCATTGATCATGTGACTCTTTCAGACAAACAAAGCCTCGACACAGTGTTTCTGAAGCAGTGTTTTGATTTATTTATTTTTTGACACATGAGCTTCAGCTTCAAACGCGCCATCACTTCTAGTTTGCGTTCGTATTCTCTGCCATTTCCTCGTTATGAAAACCTTTTCTTCTGTTTTGTGGCCAGGCACAGGCATAGTACTTTTTCTTTGGTCTTAACCTAGAATTTAGTGTGTTCTTCTTTTTCCCGGAGGAGTGGGGTTTTTGTTTCTTGTTTTGGCCTTGGAGACCCTGAAAATTAATATGCTTCCTTTTCCCCTCCTAATTAAGTTAACATTGTAAAGAATTTGTAAATTGTTTTTTTGGAAATTGTAAAATCTTTGACACTGTTTGTAGTCTGAGCCTATATAGCTCGTGCTGTTGCCCTTGTTGTGTTGCACCCCTCATGAACCCTAGACTTTGCTTTGATAAGGGGGGACATAAGGGTATCGGCCCTCTGCCGGGGTCTCTCTAAACATGTTTTAGATTATCCTGTGGGCTCGGTTGTTCAGTTCAGGTCATACGGTACAGAAAGTGGACTCCATTTTCTTAATTTTGGTTGTTTTGCAACTATTTTTGATCTTCTCACTGGGTACCAATTTATGGTTGACAAGCCATTAGCCAATGAGCATGCAGTTTCAGTCAGAGCTGACCCTGTTCATCGCATCTGGTTTCGAAACACCAAAATGATGTCCTGCCAGCTATATCCATACTATATACTGTAATGTGACTGTGATGAGCTTTGAACTCTTCTTCACTGATCCAACATGAATGACTGATATGAGGTGTGCATGACTGCACAACCAGTGAGACTGTGGATCTTGATTAAAAGGAAGCAGTGGATATTTAACGTGTGTGAGCAGGGAGCAGGATGTTACATGCTTCAGCTGTGCCCTCCTCTGGAGGGTGGGTGTTGTTCAGCTGTTTAGGGCTGCCAGTAACAGTGAGGGGATTGGTTGTTCCTAAATTAAGAGTGGAGGCTTGTTGCATCACTCGACTTCCAACCAGGGCCACCTAACTTCATAGTTGAGTGATGCCTTACTCAATTATGTAGAGACTTGCTGTGGGATTTAGGAGGGATTTCACTGTGTTCAACTGAAAAAAAGCATTTTCCCTGCATTTTCTGTGGTTGTTTTAATCACCAGTTATTGCAATACTGTTATTGCTCACGAAAGATGACTAATAAAAACAAATTTCTATGTAGCAAAAATAAAGGGCATGTCTACTTATTTTTTATGTAGTTAAATATGGGCTAAAAAGGCGAGGCTTGTGGAGTGGGTACTGAAGACTGTTTCACTCTGGAAATTAAGCATGACATTTTGAGCATCGATTGTTAATCTCTTAACAGTTTATTTCTTTTTTAACCTCTCAGCCTTAAAATGCTCAGGGGGCAGGCGTGGACACCCAAATAAGTGGTTTTTAAAATTTAAGTTTTCTGACATTTAGTGGGGAAGTCCTCCTTTATTAGCAGCATATGTGATATCATGGGATATCAAATATCTCCTGTGTCTGTGCTCATGGGAGTGGAGCTGAAAAAGATGGCACAGTCCCTTGTGGAGCTCCTGTATGCACATCAGACATTTACTTGCATACTGTGCAGCTTATCTCTTTAGCAGCGGGATGGTGTGGGGTGTACTTAGGTTTTCACAGGACTCTGTAGTCCTGTGAAAACTTTCCAAATGGCTGCATAGTAATATTCAAGGTCATGTTAGTTACGCTAAATTAGGGCACGCCTTTGCCTCGTGTACATTGCCTTGTAGTGGAAAAAAATGACATTCAAAATTAATGGTACACAATATAATTGATACACACTAGTATAGCAAAACCACAAATTACTAGAAAAAAACAGAGTATTTGATACCAGTTACTTAAAATAATGTGTAAATCCAATCGGTCTCCTGGCTCGGCAGTTATGAATAAAGCAAACAAAGTGTTTGCTGTATGTTAATGTCTCCACCTGCGGACAGAATGCACACTTGCATGCAGTAGTTTTGAACCAAGCTTGTACAGCCTTCCTGCTTTACTTCGACTGCCCACAAGATGGAGTGATGTGTGACAGCACATTATGCACCTGATCACTGCATGCACTCTGTGTCCTTCAGGTCTTTGTGAGCACTACTTCTGGTAAAGTTTACATTTTGATTTTATTATTTTATGTTAAAATTGAAATAAAAAAAAGAGGACCGTGGGTAAAAGTACAGTAAAATTTTAGTTGAGTGTGATTTACAAACTGCAAATGATGTCACAGCATAAAGCCACTAAGCTCATGTTTAAAACAATAAAGGACACCTTCCATACTGACTATAAAAATTAGATACTGCTAAGAAATCTCATCTCATAATGTGATGTATGTGATGAAATAATAGCGGCAGTTAGTCAAGGCCTTTGTCACACACTGCACTTGTGATGCAGAATACTGCCCATAGAGCTTTTCAGCGAATCCTCATGAACTCCGTCACTTGACGCCCCACAGGCTTCTACATATTGGTTTGGATGAAGGCATCTGGATCGCATTGCTTTACACTTCATCTGTCCCAGCCCCCATCAAGTACTCAGATGTTTAAGATGATTGGGGTTGAATAACCCAGTTTGCTTTGGTACTACCCTGTGCCAATGAGTAAATGAGTCTGTGGTTTTTCTCTTGAGCAGTAGAGTTGAAGTCTGTAAATGGGACAAATGTTAGTGATGCTGTAAAAGGCTGAGAAACAAAGTATTGTATGTATGTACATGACTAGGCTGAAAGTCATCACTAATGTTGATTATATGAACGTGCATGTGGTTATTACAGTGAGGCCCTGAGCTTAGCCTTCCTCTGGTACATGCTCAGCTGTCACGTCCCGGACTGGAGCAGCACATGCTCTAGAAATAACCCAACCCAGTTCCTTCCTAGTTACAACCTCAAAGTCGCCCCCTGTGGTTTCCACTACATGACTTTCCACACTCACTCTCTTGTATTACTAGTAGTAATCTGTGCTAATGAGAATTCTACAAATGCATCAGATGGCAGACCAAGATCTTATTGCTCTGTGATTGGGGGTAAAAACATAGGTTACCTGTGGTTCCACATGTAGATGGGCTAATTGGCTTGGTTAAAAGGCTTTCTGGTTTCTATGAACAGTCCTTTTGCAGTTGATGGTTTAATCATGTCTTCCTTGAATTCATCTAAATAATCTGTGAAGTGAGAAAACCATCTGCTAAAATGTAATCTTGAAATAATTTGATGGGATCAAATAATTTAGGTCTTTTTTCAGGTATTAACTGCATTTGTACAAAGAAAAAAAAAGTCTTAGACAATAATGGGGGGCCATACAATATTATTACCAAGGAATAAAAAAATGGGCCTCTTGCACAGAATTCTGTGGTTTTATCTTATCTACTTTGTCATAATGGTTAAAAACAGATGATTTGTATGGGACACATCAGTGAGACTAACATGCTAGAATCGTTTTGAGGACTCAAAACAAGTCATTCATCAGATGCGCCTCCATTTCTGTCTAGTATTTGGTTGTACTGAAATATACTTTATGGCTGTTCAGTTCAGTTGCTTCAGGTGCTCTGCTGGGCTCTTCTTCCCTTGGTTCCATCATGATCACCAGAGGTCTCTGTTATACAACAGCCACAGAAATCTGATGTTCATCTGGGTGTCATGAGATACCATCAAAAGAGTAAGCAACTGGACTGAAACACTGGCAAATCAGTGGCTTACTGCAAAAACATGAAACATGTCTGCAATGGATGATATTCTTCTGAGCTAATACTTTATGAATCTTTCTTGTTCCTGTGATGGATTTCAATGGTTGCACGAGTATAGTGTCATAAGATATAATGATAATCTAGTGTAAGTGTCTGCCATCCACAATGTCCTCACCTCTCAGCACAACGGGGTCTGCACATCTCTTCACTGTCGCCCCAATGCCATCTGGGGCACCCTTGCCATGGGATGTAGGGAATTCCATGTTGCATTCTTGAATCTCAGTTGGAGGAAGGACAGCAAAACTGTTTGTTTCGACCATTATATCTTTCAGGACATGATCCATGTCAGTCCATATGGCAGCTGCATCCTGGTGCTTGGACTGAAGTTGTGAAGAATCCTACCTTTTCATGTTTGGTGTAAAACATGCCCGTGTGAAGTGTTATCTGTAGGTTTTGTCCATAATGGCATGGTTGTATTTCTGAGCTGAATTTGCATTTCCAGGCCTCAGAA